AAAATTTTGAGTAAACATGGATTCGAAGATCAATTTTATGAGAATGAGAGTGATTTGGATAATAAGAGTTGTACTAGTTCTGATCTTTTTGAGCTTGATCACACTGTCAGGTTTGGAATTGGAGCATATGAAGAAGAATTGCCAGTGTATGGAACCACAAGTCTCAAGGCAATTGCCAGTGGATTTGTTATGTAGTTAAAATAATTGACACTTGATGTATATTATCAATGTACACTTGAGCATTTAAGCACATTTCTTCTATTGAATGTCACTCTAAATTTGTATCATATTGTTGTCAAATTTCTATACTTCCACTCGATAATCAGCAGCTAATTCAACTAGGTAGCAGACGCTTAAAAGTCACATAATTTATGTTCTTATTCGACTGGATTTAGTGAGCTTTGTTTTGTTCTAAAGAAATCGCTTATACTTTTGTTTCAATCAAATCACTGAGCCTGCAAGATGGAAAGATTAAATAAATAAACACACGACATTGGTGCAGAATGAGATTGACGGTTAAACCGTACCAAGTTTTAAAATTCATATGATGCAAGGTGTGAGATTTACATGGGTTTTTTTGTCCAATGGTTGGAACATCAATTCACTCAATTATAAGGGGTCATCATTTCAAATCTTATACATCATGGACATGTGTGGCGTACAATATAGATAAGATTTTTCATTCATTTTCATTTTAAGTCCAGGTTTGATCTGGATTAAAATCTGATTTTAATTCAAGTCAAAGTCAAACAATCAATATTAACCACATCTTTCATGGGTCCCACAACTTTTCAACCACATAATTCAAAAACTTCTATCACAATTTACTAAAAATCTAATTTTAATCCCCACCAAACACCCTCTAAATATATCTTATGAGTCAGAACAATGTTATATATCCCATTGTCCTTTGGGAAGTTGAACATTTCATTGTCACAATTATATGTATCGAGAGATCAACAGAAAAAGAAAGATGTTGCCTCAATTGTAATGATAGTAATAGGTACTCGTTTATTTGGATTGAAGAAAAAATGATAACCCTTTTGCTTTTCAAGATTAGCGAGTTAGGTTTGGATTCAAAAAATATTTATAATCTCCTAGTTCATGTGTCAATTTATTAAATTATATTTTAAATCAATGTTACTTTAGTTTTGGGATCCCCAACTTAATGGAAGAAAGGAAGAGCAAAAAGTCTTTTGTGGAAAAACGTGACTATATGATGATGTCTACTAAATGATTGAATTAGAGATGAAGTGTATATTCAGAATAGTCAAAAAAGAAAAAGATTGAGAAGTCGACATGAGAGGGGAGAAATAGAGCAAATGTCCAAAAAAAATACGAATAATCAAATTTAGCTAGTGTAATCATTGACGACAAAATTTAAATAATTACTCGTGATTTCTTTTTAGTATTTTAAACTTTCAGATGAACTTGTTTGACGTGGTATAGGAGCCACACAAAAAGATAATGTTCAAGTTTTCCATCATCCATATATGAAATATTTTACATGTATCAAGCATTTGATCTAACAATCTAAGAAATGAAGCGTTGTGTTGAACACCCAACTTGAGTTTTCACTTTTTTGATTCAACATCAGCAGGATCGATGTAATTAAAAAACGAGGGACACGTGAAAATTTATATGTTATTCTATCTAAATGTAATATTGTATTTGAAAAAAGCAAGTTCGACCCTAACAACACATAGAGGGGGGTGAATAGGTGTCCATGCAGAATTAATAAATTATAATTAATCAGTAACAAGTCACTAATTGATTATCTCTAGATGACTATGCAATCCNTCTAGATGATTAAACATGCAAGTTATTTTAGTCCTAAATTTGAATACTACAATTTATATGATCAATCAATAAATAATAACGAAAGCAGTAAATCAAAACCATGATGATCACGGAGAAACCCAACTGGAAAAACTTCGGGCGCTTTACCAGTCAATCCACTATAATCGATTCAAGACTTATAATCTACCAGACTAGACGACGACACGAACTATCTGATCTCTTGACTGCAATTTCGACAGCTCTCTTGAATTCTGTACTCCCTTGCACCAATTTCAGCTGTAATAACCAACGCTCTCTTGGAACTCCGCTATCTTGCAGCAGCCCCTAACTTGGTTGAATCGCCTATCTCCTGTGGATCACGAAGAACAACCCGTTCTTCACAGATTAGAACTCCAGTCGTATTCCTCGATCTTCAGCACATCTGACAGATATGTAGGAAGTTTGGTTTTTGGTATTTGGATATTGAATCTGATGTTTTTCAAACAAAAACACTCACACAAGATGAAGGTTAAATGATGGAATGAATAGATCTCTCACAGATGAAGCTCTCTCAATTA